AAAAAAAAAAAAAATAGAAAAAATGACCTCTCGAAAAGCCCGGCCCGATTAGGAGGAAGAGGATTATAGAGCTGACTAGGATCGCCTTCATGTCCAAGGAAAAAAAAGAAGTCTTTTTTTTTTATTTTAGTTAGTGATTCTATTAGAATGATAGGTCCCAACTCAATGTGACCGTTATGTACATAGGTAACAATATGTTTGGGAGTGAAAAGGTCCCAACTCCTAATATGCCCACATGGATTGAGATGTGTTGGGCTGTAAGCCTGTAACATTTATATAGGCTGTGATATATGGTGACATCATCAATAGAGGAGTGTTTGGATGTGGACAAGAAAGCCAAGGAAAAATTAAATTGGAAAATGTTACAAGTACATACTAAATGTATTAGGAATGCTTCCCTATCCACAGTGGGCACATGTTAATATGCCCACGTTTATGTGTCTTGCACACGTTGGTGATGTATTTTTTGAACTCACCAATGTGTGCATGCCACGTAAGCGGTGAACATATTAACATGTGTCCGTCGTGGGTAGGGAACACTATCTATAAATGTATATAGAGGTGTACATAACAATCATATAGAGTGGGGACCTGGGGTCTACTTGATTATTATTAATTTTTGTAGGCCCCACTCAATGTGATCGTTATGTATACCCGCATGTACAATATTATATAATTATAATATTTATTATATAATTGTAGCATTTTTCATATATTAATATGTTAGTTTTCTTCTTTTTTTTTTTTTAAAAAAAAAAAGCAAAATATATTTGTTTCGACATTATGTAAGTGTAAGCAGTGTCAAATTTGTAACACCACCAATTAGCTACGGAAATTTCATTGTTCCTCTTTCCCTCTAAAATTTCCAATCCAAATAGAGCCTACTAAATGTAGAGAAAATTAGTACTCCCTCCTATTTTTATTATTTGTCGTTTTGAGAAGCAACACGCTAATGAATAATTTTTTTTCTTGCCAATATTAACCCTATTTAATGAATGTTATGAGAAACTATGGAGATGGGATATGAAGAGACACTGTGCATTGATGGAGGGTTAAAAATGAAAAAATATGAAAAAAAATAACCAAAACGATATTTATTTAATCAATGATCCATTAAGCGAAAATGACAAATAATAAAAATAGGAGGGAGTATTAGTATTAGTATTAATTGGACAACCCATGTGTGTATTATTGAGAATGTATAGGAGGGAGTGTATTATTATAAACAATTCCAATTCATACTCATAACTTAACTCATTTTAACTCAATATCACCATTCTTAATATTAGTTTAAGACTTTTTAAAAACTTTTAAAGATTCTTCAAGATTTGTGAAATCTTGGTGCATTTAAATGAGACTTTTTAAAACTCTAGAGATATTTAATTAGGACTAGTACGTAACCCCGTGCGATGCACGGCTGTATTTGTTTTGTTAAAATTTATAACTAAAGGCTAATATTAATCAATAAGTTATAATATCGTAGGACATTTGTTAGGTAATCAGAATAATTTCATCATGAAAAATTCATACATTGTTAAAATCCTTCTTGTTTTTCCATGCAAATTATTTTGCACTTGACAACTGTAGATCGATATTTATAGTAATTGCTAATTGCATAGACAATACATTTCTCTAATTATTTGTTGATTTTTGGATTGTTAACACCATGAAATAAAATTATGATATAATATTATTATATAACTCTGGCGATTTAATGAGAGTAGGACTTCCACGATTAATTATTTGTGCTAACAATATTTATATCTACATGTAAAATTTATAATTTTGTAAATTATTGTGCAATATTTGTAAATATTACACATAAATATTTATAAATATAAATATTTCACGTACCCGTGAAGTAAAGATTATAGTTGTAAAGATTACAAATATATACGTGTAAAATATTTTTTTCTTAAACGTTTCCTAAATAAATATAAGGCCTAATTGCTGAATCATTTATTTAATTAAAAAAAGAAATAATTATGTGGCAAAAAATAAAAGAAAAAAAATTGATGTGGACAAGAATCAAACAGGCGGATTATGAAAATCCGTTTTTATTTGAAAAACGGATTTTCATAATCCTTTTTTTTTTGTAACGGATTTTTCAATGTTTTTTTTTTAGATCGGATTGTAAATTTTGGGCTCGTTAGGGCTCGTATGAACTCAGAATTGAGTTCCGTTTTTTCCTACATGTCGCCAACGAAGCCTTTTACGTATTTATGCTTTCGAATCTAATTTATTCTTGAAAACCTATTCTCTCAAAGCTCTTGACCTGAAGTTGGCAGCTTCCGTGCACGACTTCGCATATCGAGCCCGTTCGGACTCGTCCGAACTCGAAATTGAGTTCGATTCTTCCTACATATCGCCAACGAATCCTACTACTAGAGCATACTTTCTTGACCAATTTTCGGGCTGGAACTATTCCTTGCGGGGTTTTCTTCCAAAAACAGGGAAAAAGAATAAATACCGAAAAAACTAGCAAAATTTGGGCTCGTTTGGGCTCGTCCGAACTCGAAATTGAATTCCGTTTTTTCCTACATGTCGCCAACGAAGCCTTCTATATAATTATGCTTTCAAATCCAACCTATTCATGAAAACCTATTATCCCAAAGCTCTTGACCTGAAGTTGGCGGCTTTCTTGCACGACTTCGCATATCGGGACCGTTAGGACTCGTCCGAACTCGAAATTGAGTATCGATTCTTCCTACATGTTGCCAACGAATCCTACTAATAGAGCATGCTTTTCTAACCAATTTTAGGACTGGAACTATTTCTTACGGGGCTTCCGGCCTAAAACGAGGGAAAAGAATAAAAAAAAAAGAAGAAGACTAGCAAAATTCATGCTCGTCTGGCTCGTCCAAACTCGAAATTGAATTCCGTTTTTTACTACATGTCGCCAACGAAGCCTTCTATGTAATTATGCTTTAAAATCCAACCTATTCTTGAAAACCTATTATCTCAAAGCTCTTGATCTCAAAGCTCTTGACCTGAAGTTGGCGGCTTCCTTGCACGACTTCGCATATCGGGACCGTTCGGACTTGTCCGAACTTGAAATTGAGTTTCGATTCTTCCTACATGTCGCTAACGAATCCCACTACTTGAGCATGCTTTTAGGGAAATTTTTTGGGCTGAAAATATTTCTTGCGGTGCTTCCGACCTAAAACGGTGGAAAACAAGAAGAAAAACGAAAAAAAAAACTAGCAAAAATGTACTAATTTGAATTCAATTGGACTAATTCGAGTTCGATTACACCATAATTGACCGAGATTGTACTAAATTTGATTTCAATTGGACTAATTCGAGTTCGATTACACCATAATTGCCCGAGATTGTACTAATTGACTTTATATTGGACTAATTCGAGTTCGACTACACCATAATTGACTTCGGTTGTACTAATTTGACTTTGATTATAGTAAATTGACTTCGATTGTACTAATGACTTCGATTGGACTAATTCGATTTCGATTATAGTAATTTAACTTCAATTGGACTAATTCAACTTCAATTTTAGTATAATTGACTTCGATTGTACTAATTGACTTCGATTATAGCAATTTTACTTCGATTGTACTAATTCGACTTCGATTGTACTAATTTGACTTCGATTGCACTAGAATGACTTCGATTGTACTAATTTGAGTTCGATTGGACTAATTTGACTTCGATTGTACTAATTTGATTTCGATTGGACTAATTCGAGTTTGATTGGACTAATTTGATTTTGATTATACTAAATTGACTTTGGTTGTACTAATTCGACTTCGATTGGACTAGAATGACTTTGATTGTACTAATTTGACTTTGATTGTACTAATTTTATTTCGATTGTACTAATTTAACTTCGATTGTACTAATTATATTTCGATTGTACTAATTTGACTTCGATTGTACTAATTTGACTTCGATTGTACTAATTTGACTTCGATTGTACTAATTTGACTTCGATTGTACTAATTTGATTTCGATTGTACTAATTTGACTTCGATTGTACTAATTTGATTTCGATTGTACTAATTTGACTTCGACTGTACTAATTTGACTTCGATTAGACTAATTTGACTTCGATTGAACTAATTTGATTTCGATTGTACTAATTTGACTTCGATTGTAGTAATTTGACTTCGATTGGACTAATTTGACTTCGATTGGACTAGAATGACTTCGATTGTACTAGAATGACTTCGATTGTACTAATTTGATTTCGATTGGACTAACTCGAGTTTGATTGGACTAATTTGACTTCAATTGGACTAATTTGATTTCGATTATACTAATTTGACTTCGATCATAGTTATTTGACTTCGATTGGACTAATTCTAGTTCGTTTACACTATAATTGACCGTGATTGGACTAATTCGAGTTCGATTATACTAATTTGACTTCGATTGGACTAATTTGAGTTCGATTGCAGCATAATTGACCGTGATTGTACCAATCACGGTCAATTATAGTGTAATAGAACTCAAATTAGTCCAATTGAACTCAAATTAGTACAATTTTGCTAGTTTTTTTTTGTTTTTCTTTTTGTTTTCCCCCGTTTTAGGTCGGAAGCCCCGCAATAGATATTTTCAGCCCAAAATTTTGCCGTAAAAGCATGCTAAAGTAGTAGGATTCGTTGGCGGCATGTAGGAAGAATCGAAACTCAATTTCGAGTTTGGACAAGTCGTGCAAGAAAGCCGCAAACTTCAGGTCAAGAGCTTTGAGATGATAGGTTTTCAATAATAGGTTGGATTTTAAAGCATAATTATATAGAAGGCTTCGTTAGCGACATGTAGGAAAAAACAGAATTCAATTTTGAGTTCGGACGAGCCCAAACGAGCCTGAATTTTGCTAGTCTTCTTCGTTTTTTTATTCCTTTCTCCCGTTTTAGGCCGGAAGCCCCGCAAGGAATAGTTCCAGCCCAAAAATTGGTCAGAAAAGCATTCTCTAGTAGTAGGATTCGTTGGCGACATGTAGAAGAATCGAAACTCAATTTCGAGTTCGAACGAGTCCTCACGGTCCCGATATGCGAAGTCGTGCAAGAAAGCCGCCAACTTTAGGTCAAGAGCTTTGAGATAATAGGTTTTAAAGAACAAGTTGGATTT